CCCCTCCCCGCCGCCGCGTTTGTGCGGCTGACCCTGCACAAGCAACGGCCGCTCTGCAGAAACCCCTCCGGCTCGCCCGGCTGCTGAAGGGAAGCGCCGCGTGTTCTTCATATAAAGGTTCGGATTTTGCGGTTTGTCCTCGGCGGCCTCAGGTGCGCCCGGGCTTTCCGCGTCCCCCCCAAAACCTCCCGGCGGTGGGTTGGGGTCACCCACCTGCAGAGCAGGGAGCAGCCTGCAGCAGTTCTCCCAGATGGTTTTGTGATCCTGGGCGCTGTTTTCTTCGTTCCAGTTGCCATGCTGATAGATCCCTCCCAAGACCGTGAACTCACTCCTGCACCAAAAGCCAAAGGAAATAAATGGCGGCGAGCGTCCCCAGCCGTCCCTTGCCGGACGCCGCGCGCGCGTGTGATTTACGGATCCCGCTGCACCCTGAACCTGCAACGTATTCCTGCCGGAGAAACCCTCGCGCCGAGCAGGGAGGAGAGCTGTGCCTGCACGTCTGCTCCTCAGCAAGCCGCTCGCTAAACGCTATCAGCACCCCGAAGGCCCTTGCCCGGGCAAACCAAACAGCTAATTTCATCTTCTGTGGGACAGGTCTGCTCCTGCCTGGCTGGGGAAGAGAGGCGGAAGGACGGGGATGCCTGCAGTGGGGAACACAAAGAGATTGCTGCTGCTGCCGCCCCACGGCTCCTGCAGATTAACAGAGGACAAGGTTAAGGCTGGGGGGGAGCTGGGGGCATCTGTACTGCCGGGCCCTGCTAAAACCTCGGGTGAGCCCCGGGAAGCACAGAGACGAAAGGGCTGGATGCCGGGGGGTGCAGGAGGGGAGCCCCCGGAGCTGAGCGTGGAAGAGATGTCCTCCGAGCCCGAGTGCTGGACCTGGCTGCTTCCTTTGGGAACCAGCTCGGTGCCGGCCGTGGCAGCTCAAGCTAAAATAAGCACAGGGAGAGGAATTTGTATGTACCTGGGCCTGTGATCAGAAATCGCTCGTAATACTTTGCATGGGTGCTGCGAGCATTCAAAGTTCCTATTTACATAATGGCGTATTGCCTAATCCTGAAGTGTTAACACAACAGGAAGTGCCAGAAATGCAGCATTCGAGTTACAGCTTAAGCCCCCTCTCCATCGCCAAAGCGGGGCAGATGGCTGCTCTCAGGAGGAAACAGAGGCGGGATGAACAGCAGACATGTATTTATTTCTCCTGCGCTGTAGCTCCCTGGGTACACGCACACGTTGCTGTCTCAAATAGATCCCAACTCCCCTCCGAAAGCTGCTGGTGGGAAGCAGGTGGAAAGTGCAAGATAAGTGCTGGAAAGTGGTCTCTGCCCGGGCACGGCCACTGCTGCTCGCTGAGCTCGGGACATGGGGCTTTCCAGGTCAGGATCTTGTTTCAGCCCTTCTCACCCCTATGGGGACACAGAAATAAGGTTTTTTTTCCCCTGGGAGTCTCCTCGGTTCCTGCAGGGAGGAGGCAGGGAGCCCTGCCTGGATGCTAAACCCCACGGGATGCTCTCAGGTGTCTCACCAACAGCCACAGGCACAGCACAGGGTAACAGTGTGGAAAGGCTGAGCTTTTTAGGGTAGGCTTGTGTTAAAGTAAAAAGGATTCCTGCCACTGGTTCTAATGGGAGCATGAATCAGAAAAATCTTTCCCTGTGATGAGCTGCTCTACAGCTCCATTGACAAAAGAACTGGGTAGAAAGGTGAAAACAAAAGATCTCTCCCAAAATGCTTGCCCCACTGTCAATGTTTGACTCTTTTGAGGACCTGGTCACGACCGGCATTTTGCTTTGGTGGTATTTGCTCCTTGGAAAAGGACAGGACCAGGGCCACCGAAGCCCCGTGGCGCTGCCTGATCCAAGAACCCAGGACCAGCCCAGACCCCCCTCACATCCGAGCGCCCAGCCGGGGTCTCTGTGCTCTCTGTGCCGGCCGTGGGAGCTCCCTGGCTTTGCCTGCCCACGTCCTTCTGCTCTCCTCCCACATGGCAAATAAAACCATCACCACGCCAGGAACCAGCCCGGGCCTGGGCTGCTGCAAGGGGGGTGCTGCAGGGCAGACGTCAGCAGGGACCCGCATCGGAGCCGGTGCCTTAGGGGCGCAGATAGCGGAGCCACCTACCCCGGTATGACGTACGGCGAGTTGTAGATACCAGATTTGATGTCGTGAGTGATGATGAAATGCTTCACCCATGGGGCCAGGACCTGGGAGACAAAGGGAAGAGGGTCAGGGATTGCTGGAGAGCGGGGTGCCCGGCTCGGGGGGGCAGCGGGAGGGACGTGGGGGTCTGGACATGGTGCACTCCCTTCTGCTCGGGCTCCACGTACACCGCGGCGCTGCCCTGCGCTGCCCTGGGAAGACAGGGAGATTGGAGGGCAGGTGGGCAAGCGGAGGAGCTTCCTACCTGGGGTGAGTCTGTGTTTCCCCAAATAATCATCCTCTTCTCCCAAGGATTTTATGTCTTTTTATCATTGGCGTTATGCCTCTGGCCTCCCCCTACCTTCCCCCGATGAAGAAACGGGCTGGAGACCCGGGGTGTCCCCACGGCTGAACCAGGAATGGGATCCCGGTTTTCTGCTCTGGCCTCCACGCACACGAGGGTTTTACATCACCAGCGTTTGCTGGGAATCAGGACCTGACCCCAGTGGGGGTCTGGGACACGAGCCCACAACTTGCCCCGGGGGCCTTTGTCGTGCGAACGGCTCCTCCGAAAAAAAGATGGGGGACACAAGCCATGCACCCGCCTCACCTTTATGACCTGTCCACGGCCGGGCTGTAGCTCCGGGTCGGGCTGCAGCTCCCCCGCACGCACCCCAGTGCAGTTTATTACAACATCCGCGCCCTGGGCAAACAGCTAATGGGAGACAGACACGGCGCGGTGAGCAGCGTGCACAGCGATGCTGCCCATGGGGGCACGAGATTCCTGCATGGAAGCCAAGCCGCGCACTCGGTCCAACAGCCCGGTGAAGAATCCAGCAGAAGGGCCGGATCCAGGGCATGGCTTCCCCGGCATGGCTCCCGCCGACAGCCCATGTGTGCAGGCAAGGAGAACGTTTGCAGTTTAAGGGCAAGCGTAGCGCCCACGCTTGGCTGCATCTTCGCTCAGCGCTGGCTAAATGTGCTACCCCGTCCCCTCTCAGCCATCTCTTGATGCCCAAGTGCCTTTATCTTTCCCGGTAGAATTTGTTTCCCAGATCTTGGCGTAGTCTTGCCGCTGTCCCCTGGCCCATC